GGCACAGAAACAAAGGCTTGACAGCCAGACATCGCCCTGCTTGGGTGAGACTCCAACACCCACAGGCCAGGCTGGTGGGAAAGCTATGCCTGGCCAGGCCTCACACAGGCCGACATTCTCTGGGAGTCACAGTTCAAGCAGATATCGCTGGGCAGGTGGAATGTGCAATTTAAACTTCCTTCCTGTTCCCTGCTGCACAGCCAAGCCATGACAGAGTTCCCAGGAGCAGGCTTTCCTCAGGGCACTGGGGGCCAGGCCCAGACTGACGGCCTCTACCTTAGGGCTGCCTTTTTTAGCTTAACAATAGGTACCCCGAGGAGGACTTAACACTTCTCCATGTTGCTCAGGAGAGCCTGACCTCCGCGGACCACAGAAGGCCATGCCAGAAGGGCGGGGCCTGGTTAAGGCAGGCTGAGCTCAGGGCCTGAGAGCTCCGGAGCGAGCATGGAGGGAGGGTGGTGACATGGCTATGGGACCCTGGCCGCGGACACGGCTTCCTGTCAGAGGTGAAGAGATGGAGGAGTTCCTGCAGCACGGTAGGTGTTCCCACAGGAAGGCAAGTTATGCAAAGAAATGGCAGACTCCTGATACTAACGTCACAGCAGGACTGCTGGGAAGAGGCACTGATATCGTGACACAAGAAAAAAGGCTGGGTTTACAGAGGAGCAACTCCTCAGAAAAAGAGGAACTGGGGACTGCCCTCTCGTACCTGGGGGTACAGGAATTAAACCCAGAGCTCGGGAGGGAGGAAACGAGCAGAGATGCGGAAACCAGTCTCAATCTAGGTCATGCCTGACAGCTTTCAGGACAATAAAAAAAAGTGTTTGTAAATAGGATATCATGTCCACATCTTGTACAGCAAATAACCACTAGGAAGAATGTATACAATGTGTTAATTATTGAAACTGTCCTACCAATTTGGTTTGAAACTGTTTCATTGCTATTTGTTTCTCAATAAAATTATGGAAAATAAAATAAACAAAAACCCTGCACATGCAGCCCCCTGGCCCGTTTTCACCAGTGCCTGCCTGGTTGCTTGGGGCAGCAGGGTGGGGTTCATCTGCTATGATAAAAGAAAGCACACTGAGGGGCCGGGGAGATGGCTCAGTGGAGTAAGTGCTTCTCTGGCAAGTGCAAGGGCCTGAGTTCAATCCCCGGTTCTGCCAAAAAAAAAAAGAAAGCACACCGGGCACCAAGGCTGCCCAGGGTCACAGAGTGGGGACTGGAGCTCGCAACTTGGAGGCTGGTAGACAGCAGCTGAGTGGAGGCTCTGGAAGAGCCATGCCCGGGGTGCAGAGTCCAAGGCCCATGACTGCCGGGTGACTGTCCACATTCTTCTCCCCACCCTGTCTGATCTGAATGGAGTCCCTGTACGGTCAGCTCCATACCGCAGTGCGCCTCTGCCTGGAGG